GTATCTTTTTCAGTCAGTGTTTTTGTGTCTTTTGGGTAGATACCTAGGAGTGGGATTGCTGGGTCATAGGGAAGCTCCATGTTTAGCTGTTTGAGGAACCTCCAGACAGGGAAAACTGTACTTTTAAATTGTTTGAAATCTACCTCCAAGTTTTAATTGCCTCCTTTTCTTTTCTTTTCTTCTTCTTTTTTTTTTTTTTGGTAGGAGGTTGCAGAAGATTTTAAAATAAACATAATAAGGTTTAGAACTGCTACAGAAACATTCAATTTACATCCAGCCCCATGCTGGATTGTGAGGCCCTTTAAGTGCTGTGTGTTTACTGTAAGCCTGGCCTAAGCGTGGTGCCAGGTACCGCCACAGTATGCAGTCTAAATATCGGTTAATTAAGGAACAGATTAGATGGCATGATTTCCAAATGTACACTTCTAGTTCTAGGGACTAAAAAAAATAGTCTTAAAGGAGAAAGTATATATCTGATAATATACGACCTGCTGTCCTCGCTTTCATGTGTTACACTCAATACAGTGAGCATGTGCATGGCCAAGTGCCTTATTGTGGATGGGAGATTTCTTCACATCCTAATTAATTAAAATAGCTGCTTTTTTTTTTAAAGATTTATTTATTTATTCACACAGAGCTGGGATACAGGCCAGAGGTGCAGGGGTGGTGAGAGGATTCACCAAAGACAAGAGTGGGGAGCAGAACAGGCAGATTGACGAAGTACACTGCTGAGGGGAGCAGCAGGTAGGTCAGGAGAAGTCTGCCTCACCTCTGGGCTGTGATCGAACTCATGCAGAAGTCGCTTTAGCTTCTTGGTGCTGCGCTTTAACCCGCTGCTTCACCAGGGAGAGCAGATAGCTGCTTATTAACTACTCTGCATTGTGAATGTGACTTAAAAGGCATCAGTTATTAGAAGTTTACGTTTCATTTTATTTATTCATTTTAAAAGATTTATTTATTTATGCATACAAGAACTAGGGTATAGGCCAGAGGTGTGGAGGGTAAGAGGATTCACCAGGGACAGAATGGGGAGCAGAAAAGGCGGATCCACTGATTTATACTACTGAGGGGAGCAGCGGGTGAGACAGGAGAGTTCTGCTGAGCCATGGGGGTCCCCTCCCTGGTTGGGGATCAGACTTATACTTCAGTGGCTGGTGATAGCTTGATAGCTGAGACTTTAACCCCTGCGCCACCAGAGAGGCCCTAGTGCTGTGTTTGTATTGGATAAGTGCATTCATTAAGCAGATATATTGAGTGTGTTCTCTGAATAGGCAGGTGAAAGGGACATGGTCTGAGAGTTGGGAAGGGAACCACTGGCCTGGGTCTACCTAACTCCAGCAGAAATTAACCCTTGTGGTTCCCTCAACTGCCTGGGTCAGGAACAGCCAAACTTAACCTGTTTTGTGTGAATTTCTTTTGGGGGTAGGCAGAACTTTCATTATTCAAAATAATGTTTTAAGACTTGTAGACTAGATTTCTAGTACCCTCATTTTAGCTTTAATGTTCTGTGGATTTACATGTGTTAGATGCCTCACGCGAGAAAGCATGAGCTATATGTAGTTAATGGAATGTGCGCTATGGAGAAATGCCAGTGGCCACACACAGCCCTTGTAAGCAGTCTCTTTGGGGAGTTTGGGAGAACTATACAGCCACCTGTCAACTCAACAGGCTTATCTTATTCCCTGCTGTATGTTTAGTATCGGAAAACTGCTGAATACCTAGTAGGTGTTAAATAAATCCTGGGCTGATGGATGCATGAATTTGGGGTGATCTTAATCAGTATCCTCTGGAGCTCATTTCCAGGAAGGGTAAATTGGCTACTCCCATGCAGACCATCTGCAGTTACTTTTTATTTCTCAGACATGAGTGGTCTAATTGCACTCTAAGGTGGAAGGTACTATCAGAAAATTAAAGAATTGTAGCTCATCCTCAGTCATTTTTGTGTAGTTCTGATGAAGCCATGCCATATACATGAAAACTGAGTAACTGTGGAGGGAGTAATTAATTGAATGACTAGTTTTTTTGCTTAGAAAATCAGAGGAAGGGAAGAAAATTGTAGGTTGAAACGTCCTAAGGGAGAGGAGACTTTTACAAGGAGGGCGGAACTTTTCCTACTTGAATTATTAGTGGTTGAAAATTGCTGCAGGAATTAGCTAGCAACACATGGTTGCGAGTGACAGAATCCCAGCTCAGACCTAGCTGAAGGAGAAAGGTAGTTTTGTGACTTGTGTAATTAGAAAGCACAGGGTGAAACTTGAGGGCAGGGTTGCCTCAAGCTTGCACCAACTGCTCCAGTGATAGCACTTCTTTCTCCCCGTTTACCTCTGCTGGTGTAGTTCTCAGCAAGCTTCCCCCGCCTGTGAAGATTGCTGCCTGCAGCCCCTGCATCCCATCTCCCATCTCCTGAGCAAGAAGAGAGTTTCTCTCTCACTAGCACCAGCTAGGCCCGGGGTGGCTGCCTAGGCAGGGAGTGAGTATTCTCACGGTGTCAGGCTGCCTTTAACCACCTGGATCATTCTGAGAGCTAGGGTTGGGGGCTGGGCTTTCAGTTTCATATGAGACACATGCACTGAGCTGGGTTCCCCAGAGGAAAATCACGAGGCAGTTAACGAAAGAGCCAGAGCAACAGTTGTCATAGCCACTGGCCTGAGTCAGAACCCATTTCCTTTCCTGGGCCTGTCATTGACATCGTGACTGAAAGCTCTTAGCCCTAGCCTGTTGCCTTTTAGAAGTGAGTTGTTTCCATTTTTAACATGTTGTTACTAATCACTTTATCGGGGAAACTTGTATTCTTGGGTGGTATGTTAGGGGCCTATTTATAAACAACTCCGCTGGTGGGGACTTGAAGTCTTTCACTAACGATTCAGTGCATACCCATAATTTAGTAATGCTAGAATTGATCGTTGCATTTTAGGCATTAATATCTAAACATTGTTGAATTTTGTCAATGAAATTTAGCATGCTGCCTAAACCTGAGTCTTACTTTTGATGAAGAGGGGACCTGTGGGGGGAAATGTGACAGCAGAATGGGCGTGAGCTCTGGGCTCAGGTTCCCTTTGGCATCCCACCCCTCTGACTTTGAAGAGACAGTGCTGC